CCAAACTGCAGAAATGCTTTGAATAAATAAATAAGCTCCCTTTTCAGAATGAGAGTGGAACATCACACCATCATACTTCTACCTATATCAAGAAGCCAAAAAGCCCCACCCACAGTAGGGAGCAAACTGATGGATTCTACCTCCCCCCTAGGCCTTTTCCTAGAGGTAGGAAGAGCTTTTAAATATGAAGAGTCTTTAAACACCACCCCCCACCCCCCGGCATAACAAGGGGCAATTCTTCTGAATGCAGAGACAAGTATTTCATCGTACAATAACTCTCATTTTTAAATGAGGACTGAAGGAGGCAATTATGCCCTTTACTCTCAAGCTTTCACTCACACCCAAATGAGATGTTTTGGCTTTTCAACAGCAAACAAACAAGCGAAGAAAATGTCTAAATCCTAAAATGTGCCTGGCTTCCTCCAGTACCTTGCCCCCCCCTTTCTCTTTCAAAAACACAATGGTCGGATCACCTGTCTAACAATGCTCTGGATCAGCTTGTCCATGGTAAAAGCGATGTAGGCATGAATGGTAAACATCTCACGAAGGGAATCTTCGTACTGGGAAGAGTCCATGTTGCCATCCAGTAAGTTCCGCACCATGTCTAGGAAAGCAGGATAATAATCTTCTAAAAATAGCATTCCTGAAAAAAGGGAAAGGGAAAAAAAGGGAAAGGAAGGGAAAACCCTGTGAAACAGGATACCATAACAAAACTAGGAAGCACGCCTGTGATCTGTCTTCTCTTGTTCTTAAATGATGGTCCTTGAGGAGAAGGATAGCTACATGTTAAAATACAAAACCCAATGTTTGGAGAGCTTTGCAGCAAACAAACAAGCGAAGAAAATGTCTAAATCCTAAAATGTGCCTGGCTTCCTCCAGTACCTTGCCCCCCCCTTTCTCTTTCAAAAACACAATGGCCGGATCACCTGTCTAACAATGCTCTGGATCAGCTTGTCCATGGTAAAAGCGATGTAGGCATGAATGGTAAACATCTCACGAAGGGAATCTTCGTACTGGGAAGAGTCCATGTTGCCATCCAGTAAGTTCCGCACCATGTCTAGGAAAGCAGGATAATAATCTTCTACGTCGACGTCCACTGAAAAAAGGGAAAGGGAAAAAAAGGGAAAGGAAGGGAAAACCCTGTGAAACCGGATACCATAACAAAACTAGCAAGCACGCCTGTGATTTGTTTTCTCTTGTTCTTAAATGATGATCCTCGAGGAGATTATAAAAAAACCCCCCCCCCCCCAAATACAGGCCAAGGAGAGACACCCCTTGCAAGGAGATACCTGGAGCAAGGTACCTACACCAAAGATGGAAATTTTACCCACTCACCAGCAAACAAATCTACGGAACTCTGTGGGACTTGCATTCAAGCAGAAGTATTTAAAATTCTGTTGCAAGATGCCAAGAATGTCTGGACCGGTATTACTGGGCTGCACTCCAATGCAGAGGGCACCCACAGAAATCAATATGGCCAAATACTTATCCTTCATTGATTTCAACACATTTGCTGGAAATATGATTAAGGCTGGTTTCAAACCAGTGTAGGGCATAGAGTTAATACACAGGGAGGTGTGTATCCCAACATCTAATCCAGTCAGTTTAAGGAGATTATAAAAAAAGCGTAAGGATAGAATTAATAAATCGGGACTAGGCACTGAAATGTTTTGATGACATACGAAAACACCACAACAAGATAGAGAAAAATGCAGTTGCTTATTTTTTAACTGTTTATAGGCATACTGCTAAAATTACTGAGCAGCTTTTGAGCTTTTACACTACACTGGCAAAGAATTAATTATGCTAATTATGTGCTGCCAAATTTGTTCTATGGTGATCCTTTTCAGGGTTTCCTAAGTATAAAGTATCATTCCCTTCCTCTGGGGCTGCCCTGGGACTGTGCAGCTGGCCCAAGGCCACCCAGGCTGGCTCTTCTCCCAGGAGGCACACAGTGGGAATTGAACTCCCAACCTCTGACCACACAGCCAGATACCCGACTAGGAAGGACAAATCACCCATGTCTCATCACCACTAACGTTTTGGCTTTCCAGAATTCACAAAAGCACTTACTGGGCTCCTTCAACCGCAGCTGGATGGCGGGGCTGTCGCTCTTCTCTCGCTTCACACCCAGGACCTCCCGCTCCCATTCCCTTTCTCGGTTCTCCTCCTCGATCTGCCGTTCTGCCTGGGCGTATATTCGCAGCAGCCGCAAGCACAGGATCTGGTGGAGGCGGAGGAAGATGTACCAGTTGTTATTGACGTAGAACAGGTTGTAGACCTCATCCATATTGCGCAGCTTCTGGGCCGCCGTATTGCTGAACAGCAGCTTGGCCTTGGGGGGGCTGCCCCCGATGCCATTGTGTTTTTTCACCGCCCCGGAGCCTTCCTCCACATCCATCTCTTCCTCTTCCTCCTCTTCCACATCGGACAGCTCGCCCCGCTGGGCAAAAAGCAGGTCCGGGATGAAGTGATACATGATCTGCTTGATTTTGTACTTGTCCTCTTTCTGGATGCTGGTCTGCCGCTTGACGTGGTGGATGATGAGAGAAGCAGCATCTTCAAGGATCTGCTTATCCTCATAGGCCAGCGATAAGTGAGGACCAGTGTTATCTTCAGAGGTCTGTTCCTGCCTCTGCCAATCAAAGGAGAGAAAGAGTGTGAAACTCACTCCCAAATGTGCTATCTTCAGCGTGTAGTTCTCCTCTGTTTGCCCACCACCCGCCCCTCACCTCGGGTTTTTAAAAGAAGCATCCATCCGCACAACACCTTTTAATTATTAGCAACAAGGATCCTCTGTCTGGAAGCACTCACGGTTAATGCCAAAGAACCACGATGGTCTCAAAAGAAGGCGCTCGCAGCATTGCCTGTCAGAACTGGCCTCCCACTGATCTGGGGGATTGCTTAGTGTAGGCACTTTGAGGTACTATAGCAATTCACACTATCCTTCAGAGCAGCAACCAAATCAGAGGCACAGAAAGGTGAGGTCAAAACGCATGTGGTGCAGGCAAATTCAGAGACCCATGTTCCCAACCTACCTCGTCATAAATCGTTTCAATCTCACTGAGAAGGCTTTTTGATCTTAAGACCTTGGTGTCGTTCTGCTTGAAATTGATCCCCTGGTGGTCAAGGGACTTCAAGTAGTATTTCTCATTCTGTTCCCGCCACACTTTGTTGAATCCTCTCTGGGCTTCTCTCCACTCCTCTTCTTTCATTTTTAACCTTGGCAGGAAGAAAGGGAACAGTTTGAAAGAGAGGATGAGAGAAAATGCACTTCAGGGTTTTGCTTGAATAAAATCATGGAAAGCCCAAGGGATAAAACAAATTCATGACTGTATAGTTACCACATTTGGCTTACACTCACGGTAACGTCAAAAACATACCATTAACGCCTTGCCACATTCTCCCTCCGTACAGGACCTTTTGGTTAGATAAGCGAATTTCTAAAAAATATATATCGCAAACTCCCCCTCCCCCGTCCCACATACATCCACTAGCTTCCAAGTAAACAAAGCTCTGCTGCATATTCACAGCCGGGGCAGAATCCATAACTAATATGGTCTCCTGCTTAGTTCATTGCATTGCATTGACTTTCTCTGGACAGACAGGAATTTAAGGTCCCAGCCAGTCACAAAGATCGCCAATTTACCATGTCTGCTCACGCCTGCGTGGCTTAACCTACCTTACAAAAGGAACCCAAATTTGCCTCTGCCAGCCTAAGCATAATGGAGGAAGAGCAGAATGCAGAAGAGCACACCGTAATCAGTAGTACTACATTCCTCTACTGGGGCAGTAAGCAATGCATGACAGACAGAACCAGCCTTTGGAGGTGGCCTAGTAACTTCAGTTGGCTCAGAATGCAGTTGCAAGATAGCACCTGCCCCCCCTTTTCTAATCTTATCATTTAGCTTAAACTTTTATCTTTGGCACGGATCAGAGGCTAATTATATTTTTAGGTTTTTTTCTTCCTCTAGCATTTTTGGATGCACTGTATGCCGTATTTTCAATGATGGACACTAGGAACCCAGTACATGCAGGATCAGTATCTCTGGTTTCACTTATCCATGGTCTGAAAATTTAAAAAAAAATTAAAAGAAAAAAAAACCTGAGAAATGCGTATTTTTACGATGTATTTACTAGAACTGTCTGCAAGGAGTCAGAGACCATACTATGTATGCTAGCTGTTGAAGAATACATAGCTGCCAGTTTGTTGAAGAATACATAGCATGGTCTCTGGTCCCCTCCAGCGGCCAGTGCTAGCAAACACATTAATGAAAACACCTATTTCTGGATTTCTTTTTTTTTTTACCATGTTATTTATTTTATTTATTTATTTACAATATTTTTTAGCCGCACCATTACCAGTGGCTTCTGGTATGTATGCTTTTGCTGATATCCAGGGTTTACAGCATCCATGAGGGAGTGGAACCAATCGCCCATGGATATGAGTGTGTGTGTGTGTGGGGGGGGTCCCTACTATATTTGATTGTTATTTTTAGCGAGGATCTTAGCAGATGAGTAAAGTGCAGTAAATATCACTCGGAAAAGGAGAAGGGAGGAGGGATGGGGAAAGCCCACCTTTTCAAAACAATGGGGACAGCAACCGCTGGGTTCTTCCGGAGCCCGTCAATGATGTCAGCTGCCTTGTCAGCGTATATCCTCTGCAAAGCCTTGCGGTGGATGACTTCTGAGGACCCCCCCAAAGTATTGTCCAGGCGGAACTTGGCTTGCTCCTCAGCCGACAAGCGGGAGAGTTTCTTTTGTATTGTTTCTAGGACTCTGATGGTTGCTAGATTGGTCTCCAACACAACGTCCAGCTGAAAGGAAAAACGTGATCGAGAGTTCTCATGTAGCACAAAGAGCTTCTTCAGCATCGTAAGGGGTTATATCTCAGGTTGAAGGGTAGGAGATAAAAGTTACAAGGAACTTTTTTTAAAACAAGTATTGCATTTAGATTAAGGGACTGCTTTCTTTGGTGCTGTTTATTCAACTTGCTCAGTGAGTGGGAAATAACATTAATAAGAAACTCAATTTCAGGGACTGGGAGGGCATCATCTGCTGACAGGCCATGTCCAACCCATGGCCCTGTTTTGCAGTTTCCACCACATCCCCTGCTGCTACAGAATCAGAAGTAGCACCTGCCATTATCTGTGGCACCACAAATGAAGCACAATTTGAACAGGGAACTGTCTTCTTTCCTACAGCCCACAAGCTGACTCGTTGCATTTCTTCCATGCTACACAGAGCTGTGCTGTCTCATTTGCAAATCAGTATCCCAATATTCCCACGGAGGTGAAATCCTCTTCCAGCTACATACCTCAAATCGTTCATCCTCACACCGGTAGATGTGCTCTTCATACTGAGTCTTCTTAGAGCTCACGAACGTGGAGTCTTCGGACCAGGACGGAAAGGAGACCCAGGTGTCGTTCAAAACCTTAGAAAGATGAAAGCAACAGCTCAAAGACAACCGCACGGTCCATAATCTTGTGGCTACTTAAAATCTACTCTTCAAGACTTGGAAAATGCCCACAAATGTGTCAGAAAAGGGCAGCAACGCATGGTTTTCCTGGAATTTTTGGTTTACTGGTTAGTGTGTTCAGCTCATGGATTATAACTGCTAGATGGTATCATGTTTGTTTGGGCATAACTGAACAGGACAGCTCAAGCTTCTCATCAAAGGAACAGCAATTTCTCTTCTAACATAACTTTTAAGCCCCCGGCCCTGCTCCCCCGGTTCTTTCTCCCTTCTCATTTCTCCCTTTTCCCCTCTAGTTTTGTCAACAACATTTAAGAGATGTGCCTAGACAAAGGAGGACTACCGTGCCTTGTAGCTGGGAGTCTACGTCTCTTGAAAGTACCGCGGAGTGGCTCTACAGTTTACACAGCAAACACGTTCTTGTGTACATGCTAGCACTGGATTTCCCAGGCTGAGCATATGAGGCATGGCTCTGGCATGCCTAAATCCTTTTGCACACTTTTGTGTGCATTCCCTGGAAAGCAGCAATTAATAACACTAAGCATAATGGCTTCTTTTGTTTCCTAGTTTGTTTTTATGTTTTCCCCCTTTCTTCTTTTTTATTAGCTGCAGAATTGAGTATTTTGCCTTCAAAATACAACCTGACCAATTTGCATCACAGTGGTCTCAGATGTGAAAGCCCCAGAATCTTTATTTATTTAAGAGTGAGAAAATGCAACACCCTTTATTAGACCACTAAAAAACAAACATTGAATGCAAGCTTCTGTAGATTAAAACATCCCTTCATCAAGCACACACCTGAGTGCCTTTAACGAAGCTTGAATTAATCTGGTCTAAATAAAGCTGTTGCATTTTTCCACATTTATATTGTGCAAGGACCACATGGATCTGAGTTTTATCAAAAAGTGTGTAGATGTTTCAAAAGAGAAACAAATTTGAGAACATGCCTTTTATTAATTCTCATGTTTAAGCAGCAGTGAAATTCTTTCCAAAACACAAGCCTGTCCAGTTCAACCACATAGATATAGCACTTATCACAGCACTGGTTTGAATGGTAGGGATGGAACTGCCAGGAACATCGGGGATTTCACACTACAGTACTTCATTTTCAACTTAAGACAGGCAGCGTATTTCAGATGGCTGATCCATCTGCCGTGCAACAGTGCCCCCTTATGGCAAACGTGATTTTGTCCAGCTGGTTTTGGCAACACATTCAGCACAAGTCTGCCCATGTTAGGACGATGTCGAGCCAACCCGCAGACGGGTTGAGAGCAAGGGCTCTTCCTGACGGGCTAGGGTGGACTTTCCGGACTTTCCGTGGGCTCCCAGCTACTTGACTAGTTGAAGCCTCACCTGAACCTCATTTCTGGAAGGAATGACAGGTGAAGGGTAGAGAACAGAAAGGGCACAGAAAATAAATCCAAGGTTCAATTTCCAGGAAAGAAAATCAGATAGCAGATAATGGGAAGTATCTCTACTGCTAAGGGCCTGGAGAATGGCTGCCGGCTGGAGCAGACAGCAGTTGGATACACAGTCTGAACGGATAAAAGGCAGCTTCCTGAGATCCAACAAAATCCACTTCCAGGGTAAAGAGCGGCGCCTTACCTCCTTACATAACGGAGTCCGACCTGTGCACTTGGGCTGCTGGTAACTCTTTGGCAAGGCTCGGTAGCTGGAGCCCAGCCTCTTACAAGAGGCGTAGTCGATCTCCATCGCGATCCCCTCGGTGGCTCGTTCCTTCGGGAACGACTCCATGTGTGTAGATTCTTTATAACCCAGAAAGTTTTTGAACCAAGTGAACAGCTCTGGGAATTTACTGAACGAAACAGACAAGAGAAAGAGAGAGTAACATATTACACAAAAGCCATTAGCGGTACGAAGATGGCTTCAGGAAAAAATTTTTTTTTCAAAACAAGATTTGCACTGTTAAAATTCTAGTAACAGAGCCAGAACTTGTTTACTGCTTTGGTTTTTGAACAAGAAGCAGCTGCATCTTCATGATTTAATTTGGGAGGGAAAGGTGGTTTTAATAAATCACAGCCTGTTGTGTTGCTACCATATGGCAATGAAGCCTCACTGATAACCGGACATGGAAGTATTTTATTTATTCCCATGGTGCTCAAACAAAAAAGGAAATGGGAAGAGAGACTAGCTGAGCTCTGTGTGAATTACTGGAACTTCCAGTTCTCCAAATGATGTCCTCTGCATCCAGCCACCAGGGTCACCTACTAAGCTGAGGGCAATACAAGTGTGCTGCTTACATACCACTCTCTGGGTGGTTCACAATTTCATTACACAAAGCTGCACATGGCCCCTCACCTCCAGTGAGCTGGGTAATTTTTTACCAACCTCAGAAGAATGGAAGGCTGAGTCAAAATGTCGAACTGGGCCTGTTGGAATCGAACTCAGATTGTGAGCAGAGTCGGTTTCTTCTGCAAAAAGCGGACATGAATCAAAAGCATTTTAAGAATATATTTTTAAAAAGAGTATTTAAAGGTATTTAGCATCTCAGCAACACAGGTTGTAATGCCCTGTTTTGCTCTCTTAGATACTCTATTGCTCTTTTCTGCCATATTAAATACTGAAGTGCAAACACAATTTGATTGTGTCAGATAGCTCCGTACTGCAGTTTAACCACTGAGCCACAGGAGGCAAACAGCTCGCAGGGAAACATGAAGGCGAGCACTAGAGAAAATCTAATTACTCATTCCACTTACCCCAAAAATGGAGACACCAGCTGAACAAGCTCAGTTCGAGAGATCACCTCCTGATTAAAAATGACCAGGCAACGGAGGAAATTCTCATATGCTTCTGTGCTGCGTAAAGCTTTGCGGACCTTGACAAACAAGTCAGAAGAAAACAAGAGGAAGTTGGAGGGGAGCTGAGAAAAAAAAAGCAAAAGATCTTCTGCTTGGGAAGGATCAAAATGTGCAATATCCTCCAGGTCTGATTCCAAGCTTCAAAACTGACATTTCCCAAAGGTGAGGTTGAAGGAATATGTATATGCCCCAGAGGCCACTAAAAATGGGGACAATACCTCACACCAAGTTAAAATACAATCCTATCCTGCAATATTCATTGGTGGAGGTGCGTCTTGGAAAAGGTATGTTTTTAAACTACAGTTCCCAGAATTCTAAGAGCTGGAGTCGAAGAAAATTCACTTTTCCAAGCTCTGATGAGGGTTAGGTCTTTCAGTGCGATACTTACATGATTACAGAAAGAGAAAATTAACTGTCTTGTTCTTTAGTTTCCCATCTTGATAATGTATATATTCATTAGTTAGTTGGTCGTATTATTAAGCTTTTACTAATTATATTTTTATTGTATTTTATCATTTTTTTGTAAGCCGCCCCGAGCAGACCTCGTCTAGAGGGGCGGGGTATAAATCCAAATAAAGTAAAGTAAAGAAACAGGACACATTCAGGGGGAACCCAAAAGCAGAGGGCAAACCTATTTCCCCCCCGACAGACCATTTTATTGATAGACACAGAACTCAGTGGGAGTTGCTGGGGACAAAACCAACTTCAGGGCTTGTATCTACAGGCCAACTGAACTAGTTTTCCAGGCTGACTTACCCCAAGTGGGGACCAAATCAGTCCAGAAAGTCATTTTCTGTCTATTACGGATAGAAGGTGTCCCGAAACCCTTGTTTGCAATGTTGCCTCACCTTGTCAAAGAACAGAGATTCTGTTCCATGTTTCCCAGCTTCCACCATTGTTGAGTCTTTCAAACTGAGGAGCTTCGGTTTCTTCTGCAAAAAGCGGACATGAATCAAAAGCATTTTAAGAATATATTTTTAAAAAGAGCATTTAAAGGTATTTAGCATCTCAGCAACACAGGTTGTAATGCCCTGTTTTGCTCTCTTAGATACTCTATTGCTCTTTTCTGCCATATTAAATACTGAAGTGCAAACACAATTTGATTGTGTCAGATAGCTCCGTGGTTTAGGCATCTGGTGGCAGAGCCAGAGGTTGAGAATTTAATTCCACCCCCCCCTGTGCCTCCTTGACCGGGGCTGGATTTGATGATCCGCAGGGTCCCTCAGAGCTCTGCATTTCTACATTTATGAATCCGAAACATACTAATTTATCAGCAATGGTTGGTCCTATTTTGACTGGGCAACCCTTGTTGGTCAACCTCTCAAGACAAAGTCTAGACACAAATCCCTACTTCAGTCTCTGCGGATTTCACATCAGAGCTGTTGGGTACCCTAAGACATTCCATTTGCTCCCTCATCCATGCTTTTGCCCAGGTGACCTGCTTTACTAATAAGACTGTAGGAAGCTGCCTTGTGCAGAGTCAGACCTTCAGCCTATGTGGCCCTGCTTTCTCAACACTGCCTGGCACTGGCTCTCCAGGATTCCCATCCCTACCCGGAGAAACCAGGAGCTGAAGTGGTAAGCCTTCTGATGGCAAAGTATGTGGTCTATCACGGGGCTATGGCCATTCTCTATCCCTAGGACCCTAAGCTCTATGCAAATCAACGGGGTCCTTTCCTTCCCTGCCTGAAACAATTCAGAATTACAGGACTGAATTCTCATCCGGAAACACTCCAGTCACTCAGCCTCGCTCTCATCATTATAACAGGTCTCTCTGGCATTCCTGCTACCCACCCACCACCATCTATTTCCCACCATTCCTCAGATAAAATAGAGTTAATTCCACAATGTGTGCGCATGAAACAGATTTTGATCCCAAAGTACTAAGTATGTCTTTAACAGATTCCGATTTTAGCGATTTCAGGCTAAAATTAGCCTATCTGTAAATCAGGCTGAAGGTGGAGCCAAATCAGGATGGCCGTCATGAACACACCACTTCATTTTCCCTTTAGATACTCTTGGGCCTTGCAGAGAGAAAATACCACATACCCTCTGCTCCCCTCTTTTTAGAGTGCCTCTCCAGAGCCATTTGCAAAAAATACCTTCCAGTTAATGGCAGTCCATACTTGGTCCAAAACAAAAGCTTTTAAAAAGTTACAGTGAGCCTATTCTTAAAGATAGTAACAATAACCTGTCATGCACCAGACAAAGTTTGTTCTAGTGTGCTGATGCCTGCGCCAAAAACCACAGAGCATTGTGGGTTTTTGTTGCAACCTACTCAACGCAGTCACTCCCTCTAGAATAAGCCACCAATTTGCAAAACTGCTATTTTAATATTCATGTAGGCAGGATCCGTTACTAGTCTTATGAATGGAAGCGCTGAACGATTCTCACCTTCACTGGAGGGGTTGTTCCAGGTGCGGCGTGCCGCCGGATCTGACAGCCATTCTGATTCGGTCTTTGCTGTTTGCTGTTTAGCTGTGGCTTCTTGACCGTTCCCCCATGGTCATTCCTCACAGACTCCACCTTCTCTGCCGTTGTCTTGCTTAATAGCTTATTGTCAAAAAATAAATCACACACAAGGCTGTTAATGATCCTTGGATCCTATACTGGACAAGAATTATGCAAATGTATTTCACTGGTGCTCTAAGCAATAACACCGAGGACTCGACTCACCACAGAGCTATTTGCATCTGGCAGGAACTGGCCAAATTCTGAGAGCAGGTCTTCCTGGTTCTTAAAGAGACGGGCCACCTGGGCATAGACCTCCTGCTCAGTCAAGGCTGGTGTGTAGTTCCCTCCTGCTTCCTTGGCATTTCGCTGCTCTTTCTAGGATGAGATAGAAGAGGAAGTTCAAGAAAAGGAAAGCTTTTAGCAGTTCTCTATATCAATTTCTGTTCTCTTAGTGCTTTAAAAGAAAAAGAAAAAACAAGGTATCTAGTTTGATTCCTTGGGGGAACAGAAGCAACTGGCCAGAGGAAACAACTACACAGAAGCTTAGTACCTGATCGTGAAAGGTGAAGACACCTGAGAATCACACCTGGCTATTCTACAGGTGCTATGCCCTTTTCTATGTCCCATCTCCATAAATTACAATTTTAAGTATCTCTACAGAACGCTTTTGCCCTTCAGTTGACTTCCTGAAAAACTGTGCTCACACTGCCACTATTACATCTCTTCTGCTTCACAAGTAATTCTTCCCTTCAACATCTCACAAACTACAGAACAGGAATAAAATATCTTTGGGGACATACAGCTTTCCACTCACCTGGTAGGTATGGAGAATCTCCAAGAAAGCCTTGTAAATGTCAGGCTGTCCCTGGAAACGATTCTTGATTTTGTTGACATAGTTGATGGCATGATTGAACTCAACAGGCTGATTATTCTGAAGAGAGGGTGTGGTTCCAAGCGAGATTGTCACAGGCGTGTGGGGTTGCACTGGTGGTGAGCGAGGGGATGCATAGGGGATTGGGGGAGTCTGCTGGCTGGCTGGTGTATGCGTCTGTAACTGGGAAGGCTGAGAAAGAGGAAGGAGACACTGGTTCAGGTAGCTGTACTCAGAAAAGTGCTAGCACAAAATACGCCAGCTGCCAAGACTAGGAATCTGGGCTGTTTGTTCAGAAACACAAGGAACTGGTGCATTCAATAATCAGAATGAGAGACTGAGTCCCAGGATGTAGAAAAATATAAATAGTCTTTAATCCAGTTTTAAAATGCCCAGTACATTTCAGCACACAGCCTTTTTAGGAGCTGTGTGCCAAAACAGATTGCATTTAAAAATCAGAATGAAAACTGTTTTTGATGCCTGTTTGTTCAACAAAGTACTTTTACAACCAGGTTAATCTCACCCTCTTTGCCCGATCAAGGATCGCTCCTTCCCCAAAGCAGCACTCTCCTTTCACTAGCCCAACCGTGAGGCTGGATTATTTACATGTCATTCATTAGAGCACCCAACAAAGCACAAAGAAGAAATTTTAGTGCCATGGGTGAAAAGGGTGCAAATATGGAAGGGTGAGCCCAAGACATTTTGGAGCCTTAGATGGAAAACTCAAGTCGGTATCATGGAACCATCTATTTCAACAAATCTCACACAAACCTTGCTGGAGGATTAAGCCACATTAAGACAGCTGCCCAACGGTTCATTCTGGCAACTATATTCTTAATTATAAAAGCCAGCATCCTGCTCAATAGTGATACAAATGGCGCTCCATGTGATGCAGCGTGATCATGCCACTCACTCCTGAAAGCTGATTTTCAGCTGATGCCTTCTTCAGAGATCGCTGTGGCAACAGCCGTAAGTGGAGCTCTGTCCGTACAAACAGTGACCAGGATGCTGGCCTCAGGGTTGATGAGTACGGCCCCCAAAATTCTTTCCGTGGCCCCAGCATTCCATTAGTTTCCAGACGAGGAAGAGAACAACCATTTCCCTCAAGTCTTCAGGAGCAGCAATTTGCCTTCTGGGCTTCCCAGAAATGTTTAACAAAAGAAAAAAAATCTTTCAAAACTGGAAGTGGACAATTGGCACTTCTGCCTTTAGAGGAGGGATTTGTTTTTTCGTAATTTTAGGTATTTGGGGCAGTCCAGAGGCAGAAAATGGGACGTGGTGGTGCTGTGGGAACTTCCCACACTGTGGGTTAAACCGCAGAAGCCTCTGGGCTGCAAGGTCGGAAGACCAGCAGTCGTAAGATCGAATCCATGCGATGGAGTGAGCTCCCGTCACTTGTCCCAGCTCCTGCCAACCTAGCAGTTCGAAAGCATGTAAAAATGCAAGTCGATAAATAGGTACCACCTTGGTAGGAAGGTAACAGCGTTCTGTGTCTAGTAACACTGGCCACGTGACCATGGAAACTGTCTATGGACAAACGCTGGCTCTATGGCTTGGAGACAGGGATGAGCACCACGCCCTAGAGTCCCCATGCCCTAGAGGCGGACATGACTGGACTAAAGGTCAAGGGGAACCTTTACCTTTGAGGCAGAAAACTGACTCCAGACTCACCGCCTGCCCTAATGGCATCACAGATTAACCTTGCCTTGTTCCCTGAGAGAGTCTTCTCCATTCAAAGTCCGAAACCACACACATTCTGGAGACTCAGCTACGTGCTACTGATTTCTCCTTGTATTTACCTTACTGATCTTGGCAGGCGGTGGCTGTGGTGCCGGCTGTGCCGGCGTTGGGGCAGACTGTGCTGAGGGCTGTGATGGATGCTGTGGCTGCGGCTGCGGCTGAGGCTGGAGGCCATGAGCTGGGATCTGGTGAACCTGTCCCGGCGTTGTTACATTCACCATGTCATTCGTCTGCACTTCTATTTTGTAGCCCGGGGGCAAGAAGGTGTTGAAGCCCATTATTAAATCAGGGTGGCCTTTGAACAGCTGGGACACGCGGCTGATCACTCCGGGAGTGTCAATGCTGTACAGAGAACAGACCCCCCAAAAAAGGAGATAGAGATAAACAGAGAAGTGTGTCACTGGTTCCAAACTTGTATCAAGAAACAACATGGCATGACTTTTAAAGGCAAATTGCTAAAAATAAACAAACAAGCCTTACAGCTACTAGCAAAACTAGAAAATACACAAACAAAGGGAAGAGGATAAATAGGGTGAGGGTGGAAATGAAACAAAATAATGAAGATTTTAAAAAGAACATTAAAAAATTGAATGTAGAAGCAAAGGACTTTGGACTTTTTTTTAAAAAAAAATGAGAATATGAGTAAAATCAGCCTTCACAGAATGATGGATTTGGAAGGAGCATAGAAGGCCATCGAGTCCAGCCCCCTACTCAATGCAGGAATCCAAATACAGAATCATAGGAATCATGGACTAATTGAGTTGGAAGGAGCTTAAGGCCATCAACTCCTACCCCCTGCTTAAGGAATCTATCAGCTGACAGATTCCTAGAAATGAGAATATTAACAGGGATGGGAGGTTGTTATACGCAAAATTAATGATCAAGAACAGACAGACAAGAAAGAGAGAAACACTGGAATGAATTCCAAGGGGGAAAAGAGGGAAAATTCAGAAACAGGATATTATCAGAAATCCCAGATATTGTCAACGCAGCCCTGTTTGTCATACCTTTGAGATTTAAACTCCTTCATTATGTCCAAGAAGTCATTGTAGACTTGAGGCTGGCTGCCAAACTGTAGCTTCACTTGGTCAAGGTAGGAGAGGGCATCTTCTACCTAGGGTAAAAATAAAAAGACATGGCTTAAGATGCAGCTTTTCCCCACAACTTTCTCCATTCATACACGTCGGCCCTCATCCTGGATGCAAGACGTAGGTCAACAGCAAGCTAGTCATCTCAAAACTGTTCAGCTCAGTTCACCAAAACACCAAGCCTGCCCCGCGTATATCGCTCTCTTGACTCGGGAAGCAGGGTTGGGCAACCCCAAGCCTTTGCAGGCAGAAAGAAGGGCAACATGTGCTGCTGCAGCTCATGGCACAGGAGACTTATTTCTGCTTTGCTTTAACCAAGAGGCGCAGGTCTCTCCTCTGCGTTGAAAAAGCCTCTGTCTGTGCATAAACCGAACAGCAGTTCACCCCAACTGCTTCCATGCAGGTTGGTGGGCTAGCCCTCGAAAATGACATCTTTAAACTGATTTCCACAGAAATATATTAGGCCCCAACCACCCTTCTTTCCCCCCCCTCCCAGTAAAGCTGTATTTCTACTTGCAAAAAATAAAAATGAGGAGTGACATCTTAGTTTCTGTTTTAGCAACAGCCAAAAGGAAGCAGGTGGGGTGAGGTGGGGAGATAATCTTTCCTCAAATGTATTGCCGGGCACAGAATAATTTTCCTGCATTCACTGACAGAAACTTTGGTTCAGCACTGAGGTTAAAACAAAGAATATATTCAATTTATTTTTCTGTGCCAAAGAACAGCATGGTTAAAAGCCAGTTTTTAAATATGGCATTTCAGCTCCGACACTAAAAGTGAAATGCTGTGGTGCCGTTATACTTTAAACAGAAGCCAGCATTTCTCGAATGATTTCTACTTCTAAAAGAGGCATTTTCACCTTCTTTCACTTCCACAGAACTGAAGAATAAATATACACTCTTACATCACATACACTTTAGTATGTTTAGGTGCTTAAACACTGAGATGTCTGGGATTCTCCCGGTCTTGTAAATACATATTACTGCTGTCAGTATCCATGGAAACTCTACACTGTTCCTTTTAAAAACCAATTACATGAAAATTTACCTTTCAAAACATTTTGTTCATATAGCTTCCCATTTCATAGCTCGGAACAGCCTTCCAAATAATGTGAAATACAGGTTGTACATCTATATACAGTATTACCTGCGTATGTTACAACCAATCACAGCTCAACTCCTCCACTGACGAGGGGCATTCTGATATTTTTTACCAACCATCATTACGGCCAAGGTTTTAAGAACAGAGCAGCCTGCACTTGCGTGGGTTTTCTTGCTTTTATATACATTAAATGTACTGAAAAACCTTGGGAGAACCAAAACTTGCCTTTTATCAAGCAAACAATAAAATAAGCTGACATTTAATTACTGCTGCTCCTCGAAACATGCAGCACACCTTATCTAGTCCTGTTAGCTCAGAGTACAAGAAAAGTTTTGCATCGAGAGGCAAAAAGAAACCTTCAAGAGTTATTTCCAAACTTTTGCTGGTCAAAAAAATGTTTTCAAAGCCTCACCTCAGATAAAATTAAGATGTTCCTGCCCTCAGTTCTGCTAGTGTTATTATAAGTGGCACAGGAGCGGAGTGCATCCATTCCGTTCAACTAATGGCAGAATCATTTTGTTGCTGGAAGAGCAACTTAAGAACTAGCTTGCCCTCTGGAGGTGAGGGGATCCCCTCTGGCCTTACCTTAAGCCTCTGGAACTGCTGCTGCCCCTGTACTGGTGCTGCCGGGGGTGCTGGGTGAGCATGACTCTGTACCACCTGGCTTCCATGAGGCTGGACCGGGGTGGGGTGGTGATGTCCACTATGGACAGGGGCCAGAGTAGGCCCATGACTGCTGGAGCTCTGTGGCACAGTTGACACCTAGGGAGGAGAGGAAAGACAAACCACTGGGATCCACTCAGAAATTTCCAAAGAAGTGAAACATCCACGCAACCCAAAATTCCTTCCACCACAGCAAGAGGTCCAATAGAAAAACTGAACTTGTAGGACATGAGATGAAGGACCCCTTGGTGACCTAGCACAGAATTTTAATACCAAGTGTTCTCATGAGGAAGCTGCAGCCTTTCTTGCATTTTTTTTTTCAGGTAAGCAATACAAGTAATGAAAGGACACATCTAAGCTGCCCAATCTGTTCTGCAGCAGCATCTCAAACCTCCACAGTTGGGCTAAAGAAAAGCAGGGCTGCAATTATGCCGTCTTATTTTAGTTGGCACCTGTTATCATAACAATACCAGCATCAACCTACGCCTGACAGCAGGATGTTGCACAGGGGTGGGGTTGATTTAAAAGCTTAACATCTGGTTTAGCTTTTGGTGTTTGTTGAGCAACTGTACCTGGTAGCTAGGAGTCACAGAGTACTGGATCCCAGTAGCAGACTGCATGGTCTCCGAAACCGACTCATATACGGGGGGTGCCGGGGCCAGCACCCGATGCTGGTGTTGGAAAGGTTCGGTGCTGCTCGTGATGCGTCTCTGCTGCGAGGCATACACGGGTGACTCCTGTTCATCAAATCGCCGCTTCATTCTGAATTCATGCTCGGGGAAAAGACTACAAAACCTGCCCAGAAAAAGAAACGGACAAAGAAATTGGGGACCTAGTCACTACCCTTGGGTGTTACTAGTTAAGCCTTCTCTCAGGATATTAAGGTGATTAGGTAGCAGGGTAAAGATTTTGTTTGCCCATTGGAGCTGAGATAGTCATTAAAGCAAAAATAGTTTAGGAGATATAATACAGCTCAGAAGAAAAATATATAGGTATACTAATACATTACATCATGATAAGTTTATTAAACATGGATAATTCAATAAGTAAAACTGTAGAGTATCAATCATACAACATATACAGAGTCTCACAGTAGAACTGACAGATTCAAAAACCCATTTAGTCACCAAAGCTAATTTGGGTGGCCACTAACAGATCATGTTTTTTCAGCTTATTTACTTCACCACGTAAACTATGAAGGGAACTCCATATGCTTCTTTCATTACTTGCATTTGAAATATTAATCTATCTCACAGGGTGGTTGTGAAAAGAAAGTAAGTTAAAGTAATTATGTCCACAAAAATTACTACTCCACAGAGCTACGCCAGTTTAGTCATTCACATGATTCTTTATTAGTTGTTCATGGTCTGAAGTGGGCAGAGGGAACATCAGCATGCCTACAGCTAACCTTGTGCGTTCCTGGCTGAGAATGAGGTTTGAACTGAGGATATCTCAGCTGGCTCCAGGTGATCAGACAAAGGCCCTTTAAATTAAACAGCTGGGAGAAAAACCAGTCTTTAAAGCATCTGACTACAGGCAGCCACAACTTGGTAGGCATTAAGCACAAAGCCGGTCAAATGTTACCTAATATTCTATACTATATTGAAAAAGAACTGTAGTACTGATCAGAAGCAGACTCTTAGCAGTGGTTCTAAAGCTTTCACACTACATTCTAGGCACTGCTTCCCGATACATCTTCATGTACATGCCCACACACACTTGCGCTTGCACACACACACACACACTTACATATCCATCCGAACACACACTGCTTAGTTGCCCAAAGGTTTGGCAAGGTCAGACAGCTGCCTGTAATCGACACCATTCAATAGGATTACAAATATATTTTCCCCTCCTGCTTTCAGAATGATGAGTGAAACCCTGTTTGAAGCAGCATTTTAAAATAGTTCTTTCAGAGGCTTGACCAGGCTGCCACAGGTTTTCTTGCTAGGGGCAAGACATGGAACAAACTGTTTGGCAACACAGGATTACCAGAGAATACACAGAGCCTTCTCTACCACCACCACCACCTTTCATTCAATTAAAGGCAGCGAACCCAACAAAGGCCTCTAATTTTCGCAGTGAGCTTTGGAAGAGGGCAGAAATTGCTGCTGCTCTGAAGATCAGCACTGCCCAAGACTTTCTTCTGCTCTTTTTTTATGAAGTGAGAAGGAAGTCTTTGTTGGCACAGTGTTTGCAGATCAAAACAGAAGAGGCAGGAGAGATTCATGCTACTTCAACTTGCTCCAAACTCCAGTCTAGTAGACTCGCTAATTTTGGGGCCAAGCTAAAGCATTACGCCAGACCCTTCCAACTCACAAACTGCACTGTTGAAAATCTCTCAGGGTGCGCAATGCAAAGACATTGTGTAAGTGATGAACCAAATATAAAGCAATCCAGAATTTCAAGCACTGATTCCAATTAAAGCCTTCTTAAAATAATACTTTGAAGATATTTTACAGGGATGGGGTGAATCATGTATTAAGCACAAGGTATCGAAACGTGATTTGTTCTAATAGCAAGTTGCATACAATATTATTACATTTAAAGACTACCCTACATGTTTACTCATAACTAAGCCTTGCAAATTCAATGGGGCTTGTCCTTGTCTAGGCTGCAGTCTATATAGAAGTATGAAGGTATTGATGTATTACTGAAGAGAACAACATTTTAAAAAATGCATCTTTTGTAACTATGTACAATGCACCTTGCCTTCTAAAAGAAAATTTGATATGTATTTCAATTTTTCAACATGAGAGTACTTTTAGGTAAATGGCAGCTTCCTCCTTTCTATTTTAATATTGACAAAAGGTCCTCTAACACCCTGGCAGGAATGAAAACAGCTCCCAGTTCTGTAGGACTCATGAACATACAAGTAAGTACCTTTCATCTAGGAGCAGGCATTTTCCACTTGTACTTTGTACTACAAATGTAGGCATCTCCACACAGGATTTCTCCTCCCCGCAAGCCAACACAACAAAGTGGTATAGTAATGGCAGCCTTTTGAGTTGAAGAGCTACTGTACAAACAGTGTGTTTTGTTTTTTAAAAATCAGGATGCCAATGAAAAAGATCACTACGACAGAGGGAAGAAGGCTGAAGAGTGCTTCAAGATGAAATGTTTAGCCTCCAAGGCTGTGCATGGTTCTTGTGCATGCTTAACACTTGGGACTTCAGACAGTGAATTTTGCATGGCTCTCAACTGTGGGATCAGTCTGAAATCATGCCTGACCTTCCCCCCCCCCATCATCACACTGCGGTGCATATGGCACAGGGAAATGTACACTGTACTCAGCCCAGCTGCGGTGACAAACTCCCCTCTAGTCTCACTGGCAGACTTATTTCCCCATCACATCAATCTCTTCTTTTAACCCCAGACGTATATAACTGACTATAAAATGACTGGCGTACCATTTTCAGAAAAGTCACATGGAAGAAAACAAATGTGTGCATTTGAATGTGCACAGAGGAGGCACTGGGGGCAAGTAATCTATGGATCTCTGTAGTTAAGACACAAATTTAATCCCATTGCAAGATTTCTGTCTATGAGGATAGTAACAGTGCTGAGACTTTTGAAACATGTGGGGTGACCCCCTCTGCATTCTTCCAGTGAGTTATTTTCCTTCTTACCTATGCTTCAGAAGATTTACCAGGAAGGAGTGGAAGAGGGCTGTAGTTCAGGATGAGCAAAAAGACAATCATCTTCTGAAAGTGTGTCCAGCAACATGCAAGAAGGTATCTTAGATCAACAAATAATCAAGGTGTAGCTACACCTCTTGGGCTCAAAGGTGTTAACCTCCTTCCAGCCCCATCCCATCAAGAATGACACATTGCAAACTTGTAACAAAGACTTGTAAAATTACTGGGATGGCATAAACAAAACAAATAAATCAATTACTTTTTTTTAAAGGGAGGATGATACAAAATATCATAGTTATTTGGTCTAAATATAAAACTACAAAAGAAAACAGAAGTACAGACAACACAGTTTTTGTAACCAAACACACGAAGTTTGCCATGGAAAACTGATGCCACAGTATTTTTCAGTCAGCACTTAGCAATATCACTATGTTAGAGAAATATACGAGTTTTTAAAAATGTTCCCCTCAGAGTTTCAATTAACAGGGAAAAGTGAGGATGATAGTTTATCTGGAAGATTTCAAATTGTTACTTTGCAAGAAGTGTACATATGTGTTAAAAAGAAATGGAGTCTCAAAACGCACTCAAGCCTGTTAGAAAGCACATATAATATTCGAGGACTGTGCATTTTCTGCTCTGTTTCGCATTTCTAAAAGCTTTCCAATGCTGGATTAAATCAGAATGGTAATCAAGACAGAAAACTATTCATAAATCCTGGACATCAAGCTGGTTCAAGTGCCAATTTCAACAGGACATTCCTCATTCCAAGACTTCACATGCTCTGTGAGGCCCATAATGAATGCTCCCTGATCCAATAGCTTTAAAAACGTCATTGCTCTAAGACTGATGCTTCTCTTCAGATGAACTCAGGAAAGGTTCGCCTACCCTTTAAAAATAGTCCGTTATAACATGATTGTTCCAAAACTTAAGGGGGTGTGTGTGAGAGAAAAATGCTATGCAATAACCACTGACGGTCAATGGTACCATATCAGATGGAGAAGAGAGGACAGAAAAAAAACACCTGAAATTGTATTAATAGCTTTAGTGGTAGTTTCACATTTCTTTTAACTTGTTGTTTCAACACCAATTCTTCAGGAAGCCCGTTGTCAATCTAGACTAATTCACAGGATTCTTGTGCAAAGATAAAACGCTACTCTGAAATTTCTGGAGGAAAAGTTGGATGTGTGTTTAATAGATGAGATACCACTCTTAGAACATTCTGAATCTTCTACTACACCTATTGTCAGACGGTCCTAACTACAGGGGCAGCCTTGTCCAAATTGCCGCAATTAATTTTCAAATTAAAGATGCAAACCTACACATTGTGACCTGAGAGCAAGCCTCAGACCTGTTAGTGGGCGAACAGGGACAGAATCAAGGGATTCCAATGCTGAGTGGCCTCTTGTAAGCACAGTTTCTTACAATTTTACGGAGGAAATTAACCAGACAGCCTGTCACACAGTTAAGTAAAAAGGGGCAGAGTTTAGTCTTGCAGTTTATGCTAGAATTTTAAGATGAGTCAAACAGTACAAAATTGATTCAATGGGAATTTTTTTTTAAAAATAAATAAATTCTGGGCCCAGGAATTAGCCAAGTTCCAGAACTAAAAGGAGCTCAGTCTCTCTGAACATAAAGGTCCCTGCCTGATTACCCCAAACTTCTTCCATAGCAGCAATATAATTTAGAATTTGTAGTGAGTGGGTGAGCAGGAAATAATCATTCTGTCCCTGATACCCATGAATATCTGGGAGTCACTGGCTCTTGTTGGTTTATCACAAATTAGCTCGGATAAAAATATGCTTTCGGCTCACCCTCAGAAAAGTCCCATAACAAATATTCTTTCCTGATTCAGGAGTGAGCAGCATGAGGAGACCCGGGACTGCCTATTAATAACCGGTTATACTCTCTATAAGACAAAGTAAAAGTAATCCTAAAGGGTAAGAGCCAGCATATCATTCTAAAATACTGACAATTCTACCTCTTTTCTGGAATAAGATTTAACAACTTGAAATACAAATACTTTAATTGTGAAGACAATTCTGTCTTACCAACAGTGAGCAATCTTCTGCTTTAGCTTTGTTCCTGATTAAAAATAAAAGTCCTTCTTGTAATTGAACAAATTCAAAGAACCAAAGCTTACTAGGAAATGGTAACTTTGATTCAGAAGCAGACATTTATCTCTATTTTGATACACTTGCACTTAAGTTTCTTTCCCCTGCGTTTTTAAACCACCAGTGCTACTCAAAGCAACAAACTACTCTGTATTTCATCAGTAGTAACAATTCAGCATCCTCATCATAAAGTAATAATTTATCTCTTCTCTTATAAAACAATTGCAGCAGTTCTTTGAGAATGTTATAACACAGCAGGCTAAAGAACTGCTTGTAATATAACAGCCACCCACATGTAATTATTTACTTGATTTTTTTAAAATTTGATGTCTCTCCTACTTTACTCCCAAATACTGGGATCCAAGACAACCCTGTCTATATAACAACACTCAGCTATTGTATGTACTGTATTGGGCTGTAAGCCACTCAAGTATTGTAAAATGATGGAATAATAATGAGATAAGAAAGTAGTAATTTGGATTTTAGTATTATCAGTTTTCATTTGCAGAAAATGCCTGTACAAAATCTCAGTGTGTAACACAGGAAGTTTTGGCCCAGACCAAAAATACACTTACTAAACAGCAAATCCAACTGAACACAAAGCAACCAAATGCTTATATCTCTCCTTAGGTTCATTCTGAATACCTAATAGTCAGATCCTGTGCACAAGGTCCCCACCACCATAAAGCACCAGCAAATCTATTAAGGACATACTCTCATGATGTTTCCCAGACTCCTCTGCAGCATAGTGCAATACACACAAAAAAGGAGACCTTT